ATGTAATCTCAACAGTCTAGTAACTAGACATAGAGCCAAGAAAGCCATGGAAATCAGTGTACAAGAGACAGTCATTGCGTCATAATCGTCGTGGCATGCTAGCTGAAGGTGGGCAACACACTTCAGCTAATATGTCGCAAGAAAATGGAATATTTTGACAAAAATACAGAACAAAACTTTTTTAGTTTGTTTGTCACACGCCGATTTTTCTCTTTTTTTGTCATTTTCAATGTTTGTAGAATTAAACATGTGAATCAACACAACACTGTACACAATTCTTCCATTGATTCCGGTTGCGGGCCATGTCTTCAAGAGTCCTAAGCCATTGGCACTCCCCATCTTTGGGTCCCCATCCTGGAAGACGTACGGGTCCAACAGCGGCTAGACATGACGTCATCGATTTCATGTGCTGCCGCCAAGTGGAAGGCTGACCACCACGCGGTCGCTTCCAGCCAGGTCCTTGACGAGCGAATAGAGCGCAACGCGGTAGACGCTCAGGTGCCATGCGTAGGACATGACCGAGCCATCTTAACTGGCGCAACAAAACCAGTTTGTTGAAGGAAATACTTGCATTCCCCAAGACGCGACGTCGAACGTCATTACTGGTAACTCGATGTTGCCACCGAACACGAGCGATCCTCCTTAAGCAACCGTTATCGAACGCAGAAAGACGACGCATGTCTTCCACGCGAATCGGCCAGGACTCGCTCCCATACAACAATACTGAGCGAACTGACGCGCTGTAAACTCGGCCCTTTAGTGAGAATGAGACGTCGCAACGACGCCACAAGTGCCTCAGATTGACAAATGCTGATCGAGCTTTTGCGATACGAAGCGAAACTTCTTTGTTGATAGTGCCGTCAGCGGAAACACAGCTCCCAAGGTAGACAAAACTATCTACCTGTTCAAGTTTTGCACCTTGGAGAGTGAGCACGGGTGCAGGTGAAAGCCAATCCTTGAGCAGTACTTTACACTTCGATGGGGCGAAGCTCATGCCATACTTAGATGCTTCAACCGCCAAACGATCCAGAATGAATTGCATACCCTGAGGATCGTTACCAAGTAAGGCGATATCATCAGCCCTTGAGCTTGAGACTGACATCACGACGACGCCATAGGTGTCTCAGCTTGATGAATGCAAGGCGGACCTTTGCAATCCGTTGTGAGACTTCATCTCCAACACCGTCACCAGCTGTGATGCAACTCCCTAGATAAGTAAAGCAAGGGACTTGCTCCAGAACATGTCCAGCAATGGTGAGCGCCGGTTCAGGCACCTGCCAGTCCTGGAGCAGCGTTTTACATTTTCCCGGAGTAAAGCATAAGCCGTACTTAGACGCCTCCATCGCCAAGCGGTCCAAAGCGCTCTGGACGGATTGTGGGTCGTCCCCCAGCAAGGCGATATCATCGGCGTAGTCAAAGTCCGTGACTCTGTCTCCAGGGAGGAGCTCAACACCGCAGTCCTGGACACCTTCCAGTGCTCTTTGGAGAACATCTTCGATTGCGAAATTGAAGAGGAAAGGTGAAATAGGGCAAACTTGGCGAACACCGCTGGTCACAGCAAATGAAGAAGAGTGCGTGCCGTAAGCCCTGACTTTGCCCGACGTGTGACTGTAAAGTCGCGCGTGACTGAACCATCGTCTAGAGCCAAGGTTTAAATTTCCTGATGGGGTTTGGGATTCCTTCTTTTGAGTAGTTGCATCAATGTACTACCTCTTCAGAATTTCTAAGTACCCGACTTTCTTCTTTGAGTTTGTCCGTTTGGGTTAGATGTTGTAGATGCAGCAGATTCTCGTGTATTTGTTGCAAGGTTGCGAAGCTGTTGTTCCTGCGATATAGCGATTTGAGTTTCTTTAGTTTGATTTTGGCTTTGTACAGAAGCTTGAGTTCACCACTATGTTCATGGGTATTTCTCCATACAGTAGGTGCCAGTAGATCCACACCAAGGGTAATATGGTTAATAAACTCATTTGTAGCCACAGTAGGGTTATGAGTTAGGAATGATGTGTTCCAATTCATGGTACTGGTAAGTTCGTTAAATGAGTTCCAGTCCACACGATGGAGGTTGCGAATGGGTTTTGGCGTTTTACTTGGTCGTTCAGTCATATCATAAAGCACCGTATTGTGATTACAGCCAGCCAGTGGATTAACAATGAAAATATAAGCGTAAGAGATCCCATCGTGAATACAAGGTCTTAGTGGCACTTCTAGTTGGCTCTCTAACATGCTGGGTTCAGCCATTGAGGTGAATACATGAGATGACTTCCTCAATCCCCGCAGTGTTTCTGAGTGTAGGCAGCATGCAGTTAACATGTGGTAGGTTGAAATCTCCACACATAATTTTGGATTTGTATGTGGTGCTGGAAGCAGCATTGATCATATCGATTAGCTTTTGGGTTTCACATTGAGTAGTTCGGGGCGGACGATAGATACAACCCACTAGAAGATTAGTAGATGGGATAACAAACTATAGTGTATCTTCTAAGTCAATTAGCATAGGTTGATCTGCGGGGATTGCAGTCAGGTGATTTAGAAGATATATGGCACAGCCACCACCAGGTTTGAGTGAGCGTCCTTGCAGAAAAGTTTACAGTCTAAGATGTTAGGTTGAGAATCACTAATTTCTGATGTGCACCAAGTTTCAGTGATAAGAACAACATCGGGGTATCTCATAAACATAAGTGTTGAAAGTAGACTTAATTTAGGTAAAAGAGAACGAATGAGAGAAAGAATGACGATAGATTTGAAAGACATTGTTAAATTGGAATAAAAGTGGTGGGTACTGTTTGTTCCTTCGTCGTTGTATCTAAGAACTGTGTGTTGTGTGGTAGCTGAGGCACACTGAGCTCTACATCGTACTGGATTGAATGAAGTACATACTCTAGTAGTTTGATAAGCTAAGCCTTTTGAGTTTTGGCCATACAGTCGTTGATTTCGGTGCCTTTTCTACTACCGCTGAGATAGAGCTACTAAGGTTGCTAAACAGCAACTAGTTGATCTCTATCAAAGGTCAGCGAATTACTAAGCCCTGCAACACGTACATCTTGATGTTTACAGCCAGTGCTAATCTGTCCAATGCTACTTGGCAGTTTTGTTGACCGGCGTAGTTTAGAAAAATATCGTCGGCATACTCTAATTCGACAGGAGACAACTTCATGTTTCGAAGTCCAGTCCTGTGAATTCATTTTCAATAACTTCGTCAGAAAGGGAGTTAAAAGATGACAACGGGTATCCCTGTCTCAAACTTTTGGAAATATGGGAGTGTAGTGACGGTCTGCCATAAGCCCTTAGTCTGTCTGGACTATGAGTGCAAAACCCCCTCTTAATATTTACGGATTTCACGGACACATCTTTGTTGATCCAACAGTCCATCTTGTAGGCATGTTTCGGATAAGCAACGGATAACAATCAAAAGAGCCAGTAATGTGGCGGCCTGTTGATCGGTCTCTAACAGAGTGCGGATGTTGAGAACTAACAGATTTAGTGAGATTCAAGAGCTCCAAAGAGAACTAGATGAGTTGGGGCTTTCCGTCTGGTTGGAGACGGACTTGCGAAGACGAACACCTAACAAAGCAAGGTGGAGAACGGTCAGGAATAAGAGAGCTGAAAAGATGGGGGATAAAAACGAAGTTAGAAGGGGACGATAAGGAGGAAAAAGCACAAGAGGATGAATAAGTAGACGCGACGCCATGAGCAGTAGCGTTCTCATCCCTATCCACTCCGCTGGATGCACAGAGTTGCTGATTAACCCGTACGGCGGTCTAAAGATAAAGAAACCGTTTGAAAGTTTCGTTGTGTTTCGCCACCAGGATACTGTTAGGTTTCCCATGCCTAGACAAAAAAACGATTATGGTTCTCAATCAAAGCTTCTGGCACGAAAAGCTGGCCGAAAGGCAACCAGTGTGACAGTGGGCTACAGGGAGTGCGTTTGAATGACTACGGAGACGCACTCCAACTCGGATTGCCAGGAGGCTGAGATATTTAGCTTATAGCCAATGACCGAGCTAGCACGAGTTGTCGAGGAATGCAACCCATCACATCACGTTACGATCTAGCCTCATTTCGATGGATCCAGCCTGTCACATAAAGTGCGCCCCTAAAGATGTACCATAAAATAGTAAAGCTCGACTCTATACTCCAAGAATATTGCGCAAAATGTTATCGTATCAATTGGAGAGTGCTGTCACTGAAAAGTCGTTGCGATTTTGATGCGTGTCGCATTAACAACTGTCGCAAAGGAACCCAGTATCGTAACACATCCACCGGTCTGGTGAAAGCTTCCTTAACAGAAAAAACAATAAAGCTGAAGCTAACAGGGAAGCCTAGTGCCACTTTGACACTCGATAGTACACAGAAGATTTGCGTCAACTGGGAATGAACGTCTGACGCGCGGAGTTGGAACAGCATGTAACATCATGATCATCATCGATACCTGTTAGCTGAGGATGAGAAACACAGCTAATGTGCCGCAATAAAAAAAAGATCAGACAAAAAAGTACAGACTACAAAAACCATTAAGCAAGTAATATAATGGTAAATATCATATTATGCATTTGGAATGAGATCGAAATCGGATTGGGAACAAAGAAACTCACAACACAAACGTCGGCTCTACACCATATCAGCAAGTGTATCAAACCAAACGTGTTAATCATCCTTGGGACCATAGCCCGGCACTCGGGATGCACCCAACCGACCCCAACTTCAAAGTGACGGTTTTAATTCCTCTGGACCAAGTTATCGCTTGACCTCCCCACCTCTTCTATCCACACCTCCAGCGCCCAAAAAATACACGACGTTAGAACCGGTATGCTGGCGTGCGCAACACATGGCCCAACCATTGGAGCCTTGTGTGTGACAGCATGCAACATGTTACAAGGCATAGACGGAATAGTCTAGACGGGCGATGGCGTATACTAAAATGATGCAATAGGTCAAACAGTGGAGCATTCCTTAGATATGATGCGACTAAAACAAAGAATAACAGCCGATATCGCACTCACTCAAGTGAACAGACTTCACATGGTTTTGGTATTTGAGCTTCCTGGAAAATGAGTCTCCGCAATATCCGCATATATAATATCGACCATCTGGAACAGAATACAGGACAGAATACAGCGCAGTCATGCGCAGTCCGAAAGAGAAAACAACGGTAAGATGAAAAAATAACAACAGTAAGCGTAACCAGGTTAATGCTTCCAGTCGGTGACAAATGAGGAATAGGAAGCGCAAATGGCCTAACATCCGTTCAGTTGCGATGTTTTTGGCTTATCGTCAGTGTGAGCAATAGGTGCTCAGTGACTCCATGTTAAAGTTTCAGTTAGAAAGCAACGGTTCCATTATGTAGGCTGCAGTCAGCAAACAGGGGAAGGCAACTAGGCAATTGGCTGTCCAGTGTACATTATCAATGAAATAACCTGGATATTCATGTTGCCAATAACGCCAGTACTGCTCGCAACGTCGAAAAATGACGTGGCGTGAATTCAAAAAGTGTGGAAATTGGCGTGTGGCAGAAGGAGTCGTCATCAAATAAGTACGAAACTGCCTGGGACAGTGGACAACTTAACTTGGGGAGAGAAATCCATGCGTGTGTCGACGTGTTCTTCGTTGGCGGAGGGTTTGGGCTATTCCAACAGTTGGACTACAACAATAAGCGATGGGAGATGCTGATAGAATTCACCTCCGATTGTCTCTGAGCTGCAGTCGGTCGGGGCATACACCGAGAGGATAAAGCAGTACTTTGCTAGCAGGTGGCGCTCAGCAAGCCATGTGAAGGTCCGAGATCGAAGAGCACCAATATGCTATTCGTCGTGATGTATTCAAGTAGTGCACTGGTATCATATTTGCTGATGTTAGGCATCAGCAGCACGCTGGAACACCGTACTGAAGCTTCAGTGTCACGCAACCAAAACTCGCTAATTTGGAGTGAGGAGTAGGCGGGCGCATCATCATGGTGCAGCATTTAGGTACTGTTCCCGCATTCTACAGGCCTCTTAAGTCGCAATGCCTCTCTCAAAGGAACCAGAACCCTGTCTGTTGACTGTCTGACCAGGTAATACAAACTCATGAGGAACAGTGCCTTTTTAATTGAGAAAGACGAGCGATTTATCTTTCGCTTTTTATAGACCGATGCGGCGTTTTTTGATCGAGGTGATGAATCCCCACTTGTTCGTCGATTGTGCCTATGATATCGTATTAGTACACTATATTTCACCACATGTAGTAGGTTTCATAAGACTTTCATCAAAAGTTGTGAGGACTAACAACTCTTAACTGACTGTGAAAGGGTTTGCTTTTTGCTCATCCGTCAAGAGATGTGGCCTAAATTTTGATGCAACACGGTGCATTTGCAGTTCTTCTTTCAGAATTGTTAAATACTGCAATAACTTCATTATCAGTTAGATGAAATTTTTCGGGAATTAAAGCAAACAGTTTCTGAACGTGGTCACTTTCTGCTGGACGTTTGATTGGAATGGTTGGTAAAATTAATAACACTAGGTGAGGTCGAAACAATTATTTCCATAAATTTGCTGCAACATCAGAAGAGCTCCGATGAAAGTTTTTGAAAAGTTCACGCAGATTTTTGTGGAAACACGCTGCTTTTCAAAACCTTTCATACTTTAATCCCGCAAAACGCACAGGAGACAAGTGCACTCTTTTGCATGCACCCGACTGACTTGTTTGCCTAGCGCAGTCAGGCAAGTGGGATGCGCCATGTTTAAGAAACTCAGTTTCTATTTTTACAGGCCACTGTCGACAACTCAGAATCAGGTAGTTGGAAAACCCTACGGTGTTGCAGGCTTGCATACATGCTTCCGGCGCAGAGTAAACATCAAGTCCAGGGAAGTGAAAAGCGGGATGTAGCGAAGGCTGCTGACTGAGCTCGCCTAGACTGTGGAGGTTGAAGCAACCAATACGAAAAGGTATCTTTGGTAGGAGAAATGAGCTAGATGTATCGTCCGCGTCGGCTACGAAACAGAAGGAGGGGGAAAGACGAGAGAGAGGAAGAAATGGCAATGATGACAGAAAGTTGCTTCAAAGCAACTTGTGATCCTAGTAGATATTGTCAGCCGGAATCAAGGAGTGTATACGCACCGGACTAGGTTAAAAAGCGTAAAGAACATTGGTGACAAACTAATGGACAAATCAGATACACAAGGAGTAGTGAGGTCGGTCTGGTGATAACAATGAGCAGCATCAAAACTTTCCAGCTTGGTATCAGTTTTTAGTGACGGGAAAGATCACATTTGGACGACCGGTGGCGCTCAAACGTACAACAAGTCAACGGAGGCCCAATCATAAATCGACTAATAGCGTTCCACCAAAAGCCAGCAAAGGTCAGTTGGGTTGTGACATGTCCGGGGCATAAAAAGCTACAAAAAGCGAGCTTAACTGCCTAAGTAGACGAGAACGGAGAGGAGCGACGAGATAACCACCGTAGGAGAATAAATGAGCTGCCCTACACAGGGCACAAGCCATCAATGTCAATATTGGCCCAAAGGTTTGAGTCGCTTTCCAGCTCAGCATTAACCCAAAAATTGCCTATGGATGAGGGCTCTAGATATCACCCAATTCCAACCTTCTAAGTAAACTACTATTACGGATGGACTGTATTCAGTTCAAACGATTAACATCACACACCATATAGCTGTTTGTTGTCATTCAGTAAGTAGGCGACCGACGTCTAGAAAAAAGGAAGAAAGGAGTCAGCAGTGCGCCGACATATCGTACCGCTTCGCTGTCACGCGACCAATGGGTACATCGGGAAACCACCCGCACCTAGGTGGATTCAAAGCGGTGACCAACGGATTACAAGGCGACGTCTCATCCTTTCGGTCACCGGCCGACCGACCGACATCTGACCCTGCTCGTTTCATTTATTCACCTCCTACTATGGCTCTCATGAATATAGTCTGATGTATTGCACTACACTCGCCAAGGTGTTAAGTGAATATCACACCAAAGCACAAGTGTCAAACTGAACCGGCCCTCGAGAAGTAGAAACTATGGTACTACGACGCAGGCTACCCGTGGCGGGGCTGTACGCCATCGGGCGCGTCCCCAGGTTGCGGATCGGGGAATGCTTTCCTTGTGGAGGTAACCGCGAATAAGTCACGTTTACTCTGCAGGCGAGATGAATAAACGGTCGTGAACAATCAGCGGCAGCGTCTCAGAGCGTGGGGAGTTCTGGGCTGGTAACCTGATTCTCCATTAAATACCACAAGTGCTCGTATGACACTGTGTCAAAGCCAATATGATCGGCTATAGGGTTAGTGACCACTCACTCCTGTAACTGGGGGTGAGTATCTAACGGAGGGCTGGTGAACAACCTCGCTGGTCACCAGCTTCTCTGTGGACTGTTTCCAAACACAAAGAAGGCGAATGAGTCAGTTGGCTATCAACGGTCTTCGTGAATCACCCCGCTGCCTTGCCGGTCAGGTCTTTAGACAAAAGGCGCGGGGTGTGATCCCTTAAGCCAACGTTCTTCCTCGGCCTGGGCAACCGGGAAGCTCAATGCCCATACGACATATGGAACTTTGCTTCCATTCCTCTTACTCACTCTCCCTGTTCTGTTACTGTTACTCATGTGTTGTGGCACTCTTACAAATGTTTATCGGGCAAGTGTTTACATATATATACATATATTTATATTTATATACGACGCAGGGTTGAACCCAAGGAACTTACAAAGTAGTCTGCCAACGCCCAGACCAAACCCATTCGATATGGATGGGTAGCGATTCATCAACTCGCTATCAGCTCCAAAGCGCCAGTCACACTGACGAACTGCGTGAGCAGCATAGCCAATAAGATAACCACGCGAGATGCTGACGGCATCTTGCTAGGCACAGCTCAGCCGCCTTAAGGAAACCGAACAGCCTGCATGATAGTGATGGTATTGAGTCCGGAAGTGGTTAAAATGGTTGTCTAATTTAAGTTGACAATGGATGCTCTAGTTTTAGTTTCTTCATTAACTAGGATGCAAAATGTAGTACCAATGGACAGGGCAAACAGTCGCAGCTCACATACAGCTTGCGCACAGGAAAGGGATCGTTGATCACTTCATAAGGATAGCGCACGAAGAACAGGATTTAAGTATTCGCTGACCGTTCGCTGTTCCTACAGTGCCGTTTGTAATCAGCGCCTGCAAATGTCTCCGACAGATAAGATTGCATGTATATAAGAGTGGACACAAAAGTCTAAGAAAGTATACAGCATCATCAGCAACAACAGTACATCATCATCATTATCATCATCATCAACAGCAGTACATCAGCCATTTGAACTGGTGCTTCGCTGCCATACAACCATGATGACCTATGAAATAAAGAATAATAAAGGGGAGAGAAGGGGGACTTACCTGAAAACCTTAATGCCCTAAGCAAACATTCAAGTTCAAGGCGCCAACACCTTGTGTAGACAACATACCGTCACAAACAGCTGGCTACCGTGCAAAGATAAGGCGGAATCGGCGAGACAGCTTCCTTGCGGCTTCCACTGTCCCACGTCATAATCAGCCATTACCGCGCAGATAACTCAACACCAAACACACTTTAAACAGGCAATCCAATTAGGAGACGGCAGTAGACGCGCCACTGGTGTCGGTTGCGAGCCATGTTCTGCAAAGTCTCGAGCCAAGCACAAGGCGAATCCCGTGGACTCCAGCCCGGAAGGCGAGACGGACCAACGGCACCCCGTTTGGTCGTCAGTGACTTCATTTGCCGTTGCCAAGTCAACTTCTGTCCACCTCAAGCCTTGCACCACCCTATACCTGGCAGACTAAACAAGGCCCTCCTAGGTAAGCGGTGACAAGGCATACGTAGCACGTGCCCGAGCCAACGCAACTTATTCAGTGCTATCTGTTGTTCTAGGGAGCTAGCATGATTATCACCACCTAGTACTCGCCTACGCACCTCATCGTTGCGGACACGCTGGTGCCATCCGACACCAGCAATGCTTCGCAGACAACGATGATCAAAGACTTGAAAGTACCTCAGATCTTCAGACCGAAGAGGCCAAGTCTCACTACCATAGAGCAGAACGGCCCTCACGGTCCCCCACATGGCCTGTCGCCAAAGATGCCGCAGGT